CGTTCCTTGTGTCGCTGGTACCTATATTTCCGGCCTCGAGCTCCGATTGCTGAAGCCCAAGGCTCTCCCAGCACAGAGCACGGGCAAAAGCTGATGGAACGAAGCCGACGGACAGCTGATCCAGGCGGCTCCAGTTCCGACGGATGCACTGTCGCAACAAATCCACCTCGGACGGATGCTGGAGTCCTTCCCACTCAAACGCCGTCAGACAGGATAGCCTAGACACTCCGTCCAAGCGGTGCAATGTTTCAGGACAGGTGCCGTCAGTGACGAGTGAGAGACGAGCGAGGCGCTGTTGGTACCGACTGAGATAGCCTTCCTGGTCGAGAACTCCTACTGGAACACATGTCCCTAGGCGCCATCTATTGCTAGTCAATCAGAGGTCTAGATAGATAGATACCGGCCTATACGAACTCAAACGTGCTCAGTCTATTCGGCTTCAGGTGGGTGAATATCAGCTGCAATTGATCCTTCACGTCATCTAGGAATTGCCGGTGTGCCGCCGCCTCGTCCGAGGCTCCCAGTGTAGCCGGGGACTCCGGCAGCCCCGCCGCACGAAAGATGTTGTAGTATGCACATCGGTTAAACCGAACAAGGTGGAATGGAGCCTTGATCTGTAGGTGCCGCGCGTGTTGGAGATAGTCCGCGGCCCGTGAAGGACCGAAACGGAGAAAGAAGGGCTCGACATTCAACACATTCAGCGCCCATTCACTTGCTGCACAGAATGAAATGGTACGGTATATCCGAGGAACCAAAACTGCATACAACCTGGACGAGACTCGGCTGAGAACGCGCAGGGTGGTAGCTGATAACTGGTAGGCGGTCAGTACCTGGACCAAAGCAAACACACTGGAACTCACCCAATCTGCGATCAACATCAGAATCTCACACGGCAAGGTGTTCAGCATTGTAGTCTGTGCTCACTTCATTAAAATCGCTCTGGACAGCAAGAGGCTTATAAGCACGCATCTATCTGAGCACCCAGTCAAGTTGCCCAGACATTGCGCAGAGGACGTTCAATATTCGCAGGCACGCATCATCGCGCTGGATGGTAAGCTCGTTCGACCAGCCCATGATAAACGGGCTCAGCGCCATTTCTGTAACCGCTCTTCACCCAGGCCACCAAGTCTTGTGGAGCGCATTGCCAAGCTCAATGGTCGTCCAACATGAACGGCAAACAATCAACTGACCACAACGTGGTGTATCTTCACCGAAATTGGCAACCACAAGATAAACTGTGGATGGGCTGAGGAGTCGCTCTTCGATACAAATTATAAGAACGTTCAAAGGGCAGAGCTGGTCGGATAAACATGTCGGCGCTGGTTCATGTGGGGCAACGGAACAGGTCGCGGTTGAAACGGTCGATCCCGGTGGAACGGTTATCAATGTGTTTCAACTGTGAAACACGACCGCCGACCGATTGCACAATTTTACCCAAGGCCATTCCATTTCCTACGAAATAGGCGACAGTAGTACGGTCGAGCAGTTGACCGGGTCCTGACATCCATCTTTACACATCACTGTCATTAGAACGTTGCTTAGGCAGAAAATGGAAACAGAATTTGGCCTCTTACCTTGGTGCAATTTTAGTATCGAGCGTCCACCACTACTGCACAAGTTTTGTCACAAGACTAAGGCACCTGGTAGTATGGTATATTGTCACGATTTGTACTGTATCCGGCCAATTGGAGATATCAATGACTCTGTATTGCATTACCCCTATTTCCTGCTTTTTGTAAGGCAATTTAAAATACATTTGCGGGTTCAGGGACTACTGTATTTCCGAAGCCTTCGAATCATCTATGGAACCGGTTTCATGCGGTATTCGTAAGCCCAATGCTTAATATTTGCGGCATCTAGTCAGTTAGCTAACTTAGCCATGTATGACTGACGTTTCAGGCATCCATACTGTTACCTCGGGAATGAATCAGATCGACATTTAACTAATGAGATTAAGCATGAACAGAGCTTTCACTCCTTCAATAGTAGGATCCCAACATAATAGGCTACATTATGAGGGATCAGACCTAAACAACCTCTTTGAATCAATACAACACCTACTTCCAATATATCATACACCATCAATTTCACTTAGCTATCTATAAGGCGGTTGGTTGACCTGACAAAAGCCACTCACGTCTACTGTCGTGAAATAGGAAGATAATACCACCGAAGCGAGGGAGAAGAATATCATGCCAAAGCTATACAAGCAGTACGAAAATCTCTAAAAAATCACTTCGTCTGTAAACTCTGCGGGCCAGCAATATGTATACAGAATGCAGTCGATCCAAGGGACCTAAGATCTCGGCCTTCGCGGCACGTTGTAATCAAGTAAAGAGGGTGGACACTACCGGCTCCAATATCGGGGGATGTAACCATTTCTATGAACAATGGACGGAATCCAAAGCAAGGAGCGAGATGAGAGGGTGATGATCAGATATTTTGCTCCTGCCATTTCATCCTGGCCCCGGTATTTGAGCGATCACCCCACGTTGTAGTCGGTCACACCGTCTCTGGAATCGATGAAGCTCATGCTGCCATTTGAAGTACTGCAGATAAGGAAATCCTCGAATAAGTGACGGCGCTGTAGACAAGGACTAAATGCATCACATAGAGACTGGGCCGCCAGCCATTCACCGCCCCAATTCTCTCTAACGGACGAAGCAGATAGAACGCAGCACCAAGAGAATTTCCAATGGCGACTCGACTGAAGTGTACCGCCACTGCAGGTGGGCTTTGGAACGTCCCGGTCAGAGCATAAATAGTTGGTATGAGCGAAAGTAAACCCAGTGAAACGCAGCTGTACGGAAACCGGTACTGAACCGCACAAACACTGGGATCGGAGACCACAAACTCCACCAGGATGCCGACAGCAACGACGGTAAAGGCAGCTAGGTATCCGAGCTGGAGGCAGGTTTCGGTGCGGAACAGCACAACCACCGAAGGAAGGGTGGCCGCCCAGATCAGGACTAAAGTGGCTCCAGACTCCAGCTTTTGCCACTCTTCCGCATCATTGCCCCCGAAAGCGTCTAGAAAGCGGTAGAAGAGGCTGGACAAGCACCAGAAGATGACACCTGCGCAAAAGGCTAGCACGGACAAGGAGTCCAGAATACCTTCCGGGGATGAAGGGAAATAGAAGAGCAGGAAATGAATCACAAAAAGGTAAAAGTAAAGCAATCCAAAGACATTAATTATGGTGAGGATTGCAAAATCGTGCAGGGACTGCGCTTTTGGGTCAGCCATTTAAGTTGTATACTTGTTAGAGCGATGACATGGGGGAAGCTGGGCTTTTAAGCTGAATAGCATCAGCGAAGCAGCTGTTGGATCAGATGCCGTCTCGATCAGTGCACATTGTCTCGGATAAAACAACGCAACTGAGTAGGAGAATGTCAGAGGGGAAAGGGTAAGATATTGTGCAATGGTTAACAAATGGCATTCACTAATGGATTTTAGAAAGGACGGTTAAAAACGGTTAAGAAAGGGAGGCTGAGAAGGATGTCCAGCTCATTTGAACATGCTTTGAATACTTGTGCCCTGTTCGGGCGGGCATCATCTATGTGGCGGTCCAAGTTAGCTTTTTCTCAGATTGACCACTGGCTCATCCCTGTCTATCCCGTAGTAACTGACACAGCAACTTGCGTCTCATGTCGAAATAATTAAATTGGATCCACCCGACCTAAAAGATTTCTTAAATGTTGATCTAGCAAAGCTGGCCAACACCGCCTGTCCTGCCACCCTCAATTCTATGGTTAAAGATCCTGCCACTTTTGCTTCAGCTATTCATTCGGGCGAACACAATGGAAGTCTTCACCGGATATGTCTAAAAATCCAAAACTTCTTGACCGGTTGTAAAGAACTCATTTATGAGGGGAGCTTAGTTCTCGCCTGGTTGTCGCCGAGCCCTGCATCTCCGTAGCGAGCGTTTCCCGCAATCAAGCTCTTGTAGGTGGACTTACAGTATAAATCATCACCGCTGCGGGAAATAGCAGCTATATTCCCACCCAAGTGTTAAGCAAAGCAGATCTCAATGGAGGAAATCGTCAATATTGTTCGAGAGATTGGCCGACAACAGGGAGAAAATGTATACTTTCGAGCCTGCTACACCCTTTTCAAACACCTACAGGACAAGACCCAGCAAGCTTCTGAGGAGCTAATTCACTTACACCAATCCGGCGACTTTGGCTCATCGGATGATGAGTTTTACCCGGTCTATCAAATTGCGCAAGAGCTTCAAGCCTCCGTGCATAACCTGGCTGACCAGGCGCGTAAGGCGCAGTTGGCCTGTGAAGAATTTTGCGAGTTGGACTCTCGCTACTCGGCCTGTGAAACTTTCAAATTTGCCGATAGGGTACAAGCACCTCGAAAGGTCGTGAAGCATGCTTACCAGGGTGTTTGCGATAGCCCACGGTCGATGCAATTTATAATGGTACCAGTGGATGATCCTCTGGGTGACTGTACGATAGCTTCGAAGAGCATGTCTGAATTCCTGCAACACAGCAGAATACCTGATTCATCAAAAGATCAAGCACGAAGGCCGACAGAGTCGTCCACTTCGTAAAGCACAGACAACCTCATCAGGGGCAATAAAGCTTTGCCCGCAATTACAGTACAAGCCTATTACAAATGGATGGAAACCAATTCAAAATACCACTTTTTTCCCTATCATTCTTTCTCGAAGTCGATTCTGGAAACGGTAGTCTATCTAGTCTAACCCATGTATTGTTGTCTATCTTACAAGGCGGATCGAAATAAGTTTCAACGTTTTGTTCTCTTTGAATGGTTCTCGAATGTCATATTATAGTGACTCCAGGCTTAATGTGGTTAGTCAATGACAGACCCTTGCTCACAACCCTTTTCCTATTCGAAATAGCGAGATGAACTAGTCCAGACGTAGATTGAAGCGGGCCTTACCAAGACTGAAGAACTGAAGAGAATAAAGCGGTGAAACTGTTTTCAAGGGGACCTGTAACTACTCCGCATTGTACTACTCCATATCCGCATCAAATACAGCAGCAAAACATTTCTATCAGCCATGTCAAAAGGGCTGCAAAGGAAAATGTCACTGCTAGCCAGGTTGCAGCGAACGAATGCGCCCCAAAACTTGCATCTGCCCCCAGAGGATGAAGGATACTCTGTATGGCACCCGTAATCAACCCGTAGATTACCGTAACCCCGATGGATGCACCGGTGACAAAAATAGCGGCAGACTCAGCAATGGTCAGCTTGTGTATATAGAATCAATGTGCCAGGGCCTTACCAACGAAGAGAGGATAAGCAATACTTTTCCTCGAGAAAAATACATTGTGGTGACGCCAAAAATAACAGCCATACATGTGGAAACAAATCCCAGGATGTAAGCTGAAACTGACCACCGGGAAACATCACGATATCCAGCAAGGACCTTGTTATTTTCGTCTGGTAGTACCTCATTGATGCCTGAGGAAACTGAGCCAAAAATGCTTAACAAGTCAAATGAGAAAGAGGTACTGGGCTGCGAGCAATTGGAATACGATGACTCTTCCTTCTGTCCTTGGCAATAACCCCAAAGCCCAACAGAATAAAAACCAGGAAGGTGTGAGCTGATCTCGTCGGACAATGATTGGACCTTATCAGTGACCTGGCTTACTGCAGTCTCTGCGGCGGCCGAGGCATAAATGACTGCAGTTGAAGCACTGTTCACAACACCGTTGGCCTCACTACTGGCTTTATTTGCAACATCGGATCCGTCCACCCCGGCAATACTGGGGGAACGACGTAGATGAAGGTTCCCTAGTTCTGGGAAATTGGTTAAATTCACCTATGGATTATGGACTTCATATTACCTTAGTGTGTTCCTTAGGTTTATGGTATATTAGCTTGCCTTTAAGAAATGCAATCCAGTGGGGGAAGAGGCCGATGTGCATCCCACAAAGACAACAGCGAGGCAGGCCAAGGCCGATATCGAGAAAGCCAAGGGAAGTAGCTTTCCTACGTGCCGAAGCATTCTATGTATGCTCTATTGGGGTGTTTGGAAGAAGATATGAGTGTCCTGGTAAGGGTCCCTTGATGAAAGCCCTTCACGAGCATGTAGAAACCATGTGCTCTTTATAGAAGCGATAGCCTGTATGTTAAAGTCATAACAGAAAGACATATAATACCAAGATGAACCGAGTCAGGAGCCGTCGTTCCATGTACCCATTAAAGTTCAAGTGGCATAGGCATTATTGAGTGCTGTTCGCGGTTGACAACACAACCCTCAAATGATAGGTTCTATTCGGGACTGTTGCGTGAGAGCCCCTTGCGTCGGGCCCACGATATCCCGTGCTGGACATCGCACACAAATATCGCCTGGCTTTCCCCTCCCTCGAAAAGAACATCGCCGTTTCGAGGGAGAGCCGGGCTCTCTCCGCGACGGTTTCTTCCCGCCCACCGCGGAACCCCCCTCATGTATATACCACGTATGCTCTCGCATAGCTATTTTTCCTCCTAGAATATACGGAGTGCCACGGGCCCGCCTGCAGCCCTCACGGCGCTGTAGCCCTCCGTCAACGAGGCCTACATCGCCAGTGTTCAGACCGCAGGTGCCCCGTGCGGGCCAAAATATCTCATCCGTCTCCATTTGTGCCAGTGTAGCAATGGTTAGAATAGATGTTTGGTTTCAGCTAAATTTGGTTTAACGTGATGGACCTGACCAAGTTACTGACATTACATTATAGTAAAATCTATTGGAACGGTTGAACCCCTAACAGTGAGCGAACATTAGAGGGAATAAGGCCTGATTTAAGATCAAGTTAGCCGGAGCGACGGAAATTGACGCCCTCAGTTTTGTATAGAGAAGATTAACCACCACTTCGGCGTCTATAATGGAATGTGTACCATCATGGGCCTCAAGTTGATGCCGGCTACGGCATATCAGTCGAAAAGGCAAAATATGAAATTGGCTCTCTCCTCCAGGACATTTAAATAGTCCCGCTCTCTCGGCAGACAAGCTCAAACATACCGCGCGCGTTGCATCAGAAAATGACGCGCTTATCTCAAGCTCAAGCGGAAGAAGCCGAGGGCAGACTGTTCACCTATCGTAAAGAACATTTCAAGATGGCCGCACGTGTTGACATTTCTCGTCTTGTATTCGACAAAAACTTCAAGCGGCAAATGAGCAACCGCCAGAATATCACCCGACTTGAGCGAATTATGGATACTGAAGGGTGCTATCGCCTGATGGAAGAATACCATGTCCCTGTATTGGTTCCTGGAAGTGATTGGGAACGTTACGTCAGGCCACGACTGGTCGATGGACAAATCCATCAATTGGATGTCGATATCGACTATCAGCTGCGCGCACAGGATCACGAAAATTTGATTATCGCGGCAAGGAACAAGCTCAGTCCGAGCAATTCATGGTGGATTGTGGATGTTTACGTCACAGACCAGATAGGTGCGTAAAGTAGTTCGCTTTCCCCCGGCATGTATATCCCTGATGTTTTCAAGCTAGTGAAGATCCCTTACAAGAAGAATTCATCCGGTCTCTTCGAGAGCACTTCCCGAATGATCAAACACCTCCGGATGGGCTAATCTATCAACGAATAAGGTATTATGAAGGATATCTCGATGGCCCTGTAAACAGAATAGCAGCAAACCATTGGTGGGCTGCTCTAGAAAGGGTTTCTGGAAGCAAAAAGGGAAAGTATTTGCGAGCTTTCTTCAAACATCCGACAATGCCCCAAGCCTTCGATGCTCTGCTCCCTATAGCGGGTATTTGGGAAGGCATGCGAATTGGACTACTCCATAAATTGGTGGCAATGCGTTGTGATGAGGTAAGTTACTTGCGTCCATTTGAATGCCCAAAATGTCATGCTCAGACGGCTAAGTGAAAGCATCAGCCTCTTCTGTGCTATTTAAATCACATAAAGAATACGTTCTTCGGCTTAATGGGAAACAGGCTTGACCTTTTGGCACGATTAGACGGTGTGACTATCCAACTATTAAAATCGCGTGCGCCCAAAGTCTCTGCTCGGGACTTGAAGTTTTTGAAGGAACGAATGTTAAAGGAAGAATTGTTCCCTGATGTTGAACATGCTCAGGACCGCTCTGAAATTTGGGAACGATTACAAGAGATTCAGTACCCCATACCGACGCTGGAGACATTTTTCAAAGACAGGCTCACCCTGGAGGTTAGCCGGAGTGTACTACAGCAACTCTACATTTCTGATCCCCATCGGAAGATAACCATCGACGAAAGACTAGGGGAACAATATAACACTAGTGTCCCTGTCATGACTTCAAATCGTCAGCATGGAATACGGGAGGACCTTTATGATTTCTGGCGTTTCAGCTTCCAGTACGGATTCGAAATGACGAATCACGAGCGCCGCGTGCCGCGGACAAAATCTGGCACGCAACGCGCGGCGACACCTGCTGAAGGACTTCACACGCCTGAACGGGGAATTCTTTGGCAACACCTCTTTTGGCTTGCCAGGGAAAAAGGATTTAGCACCCCTTTTGCGGATGGACCCCAGGCTGAGCCTGTTGAATTACCTCCCCTCACACCATGTGACTTTCCAGCAAGTCTGGAAGAAGACCTACCGGTAGAAAGACGATATGGAAAGCCATATACGGACTCAGTGGAGGCAGATCAGTTTGCACTTTCGCGGGAGGTATTGGAACAGCCTTGGAGCTCTCCCCGAGTTACTGCAGGATTTGCTCGGCGATCGGTGTTTTTGGCATATTTCCGCTATCTCAAAAATATTCCTGATAGTCAATTCGTTCGTCCAGTTGAAACCAACGATACACTTTCTCAATCTTCTCTCTGGAACCCGAACTTTGACAACATGATTCAAAACACGATAATTCCAGCAGCAGAAAATGAAGCAACCGTGTTCCCCGTCTGTTCTACTCCGCAGTTTGATCCCACATTGGCCGCTCCAGCTATGGATATTCAGCCATCGAGCTGCTTTAACATGAAATTCATCATTCCTGGCGAGCCTGATAAAATCGTGCCGCTACCAAATATTCAATCCGCTTTGAATACGTTCTTTGAAGGGTTTTCCCAAAATCATTTCTATATATATTCTAGCGATAATCCAACACGGGGCATCAACGGGAGAGATTGCTATTCGCTATATTTGGGGAACCCGTTCCTACTTTTGCACGCCGAGTATATAGGTGAGGATCTTTCCCAAACGGTATTTCACGGGTCGACCGACCAAGACGAAGGAAGAAGGAGCAAAAAGCGACGTATGAACGGTCAACATGAAATTATTGGTGCGAAAGAATGGTTGAACACGAGCCTGAAGGAGTTGGCCCAAGGAAATCTCGCATATCAAGCCGAGATGGATCTTCCGGGGGATGAAGATGATATAGAATAATTATATTTTGGACGAACGAACAAATAAAATCGTGAACATTGATTCGATCCGCCCTGTAGTATCGTATAGCGATTACCTACCGGACCCTTCTACCGATTGCGCCAGAGGTGAGGACCGCCACATTCCAAGACGACTCAGAGAGCTAGATGGCGACGATGTATGTAGATCGGAGTGTCTGTGGTCAGACCAAAGCTAGCCCTGCTATACAAATGCACCTATTATAAAATACTCGGCAAAATGCAATGCGGTGGACAACATGCCTGCGCGACATTTAGGAAGAGTCTAATGTAGCTGCAATACATTTCTAACGCCAACAAAGGTGGAGTCAGCAGTAAACAGTGAAATCTACCAGCAAACGCATCGGAGCACGGCGAGCGCAGTGAGGAAAACTGTTAATCGTTATTCCTCAACTCAAATGATTTCCCAAGATTTCTCGAGATGTTTCAGTGTGCAAGTGTACGCCATCATTTATCCACCAGAAAGTTTGCTAGTGTTACCAGTTTGAAAACTGAGGACAACTCTTTCTTGGCAAAAACGTTTTCTTGAAATATCTAGCCAATCAGAGGTCTCACAGCCTCGTGAATTAGTTCATCGTAATCGTAACCTCAAGCGCTACGACCTGATACCCTTTTTATAGGGGAGATGGCAGCGATGGTTGGGACGGGTGCGAACGCACAGATTTTGCCCCCTGACAGGAGAGGAACACCAAAAACCACGGCCCTCGCGGATCCGCCCCGATCCATGGACGACATCGCGGAAGGGGCCCGCAGGGTGCTCAACCACATCGAAAACAATGGCACGGAGGACCGATATGTCACTGGGTATATTCGCGCCGTCCGCCAGTACGCACTCAACGCCCAACGGGGAGACGGCCAGGGGATGGCCAAGGTGCTTGAGGCGCTGACCAAGATCAACGCCGACACCGAACGTCTGAACCAGCGAATGGATACCATTGAAAAGACAACGAGCACATTATCGACGGCACTATCTACCCCCGCGGCGAACTCTGCGGCAGCGTGGCGCAACTTCCGGGCCAAAGAATGGCAGCGCGACTTGGCTACGGCTGCGGCTCCTATCACCCGGAGCGGCGGCACATCGTCACCAGGAGTACCGGAAATGGAACTTCGCGAGGACCGAGAGGTCATCGTCAAGGTCGGAATGAACCGCGAGCAAATCCGTGGATTGACACCAAAAGATTTGGTCGAGAGGGCTGAACGACAGAGGGTATCAAATGCCCGTCAGAAGAATTCAGGGGTACTGGCCGGACAGGCTTTCTTTGTCGCTGCTCGAAAATTGCCGTCGGGGGATATGGCAATGATCGCCAACAGTGCGGCAGGGGCAGAGGTCCTCCGCAAACATGCTGCGTGGCTGAGAGCCTTTGGACCAGGCTCGGTGGTCCAAGAACCGTCATGGGGAGTGGTGGCGTACC